ATGTATTTCCGGGTATATAATAACCAATGTTTTTATATGTTCGTATTTGGGAGTTACACATTTTGAGTGTAAGTCGGTTGGCTGGCAGACCTACTGTCAGACTAACTGTCTGAAACGAGCCGTCCGCTCACTTTGCACCTGACTAACAGCCAGACCTGTGGTTGGTCCTCGCGGACGCAGGGTGACTGCTAGTGGAGTGCTCATTGGCGAGACAGCGTGTCACGTGGTACAAGCAAATGCGTTGTGCCGTCACGCAGTGTGGCATGACGAGTTTTGAGAGTATACCCGAAGAGCCGGAAGTGGAGAGCTCACTTCTTAGTTGCCCCTTAATCATTTTAAGGGATTCAAATTGACGGTAGCCAGTCTTACTGAGCACTACCAGCTGTGATTAGACACGTCGAGTGATCTATAATCACGTCAATTGATTAGAGCGAACACTTGGAGGTTTTTATCTGTTGACGTTCACTTTGTATTACTTTTCCCTTTTATTAATTATCCTTTTTAATATACTCGTTTCATTTCTACCTTACGGTACGCCCTGCCGTTCGTGCTTCGTGACTAGAGCTTGACTAGCATACACTAAATACCAAGAAACTCCGTTTTCTATAGCAGTTCCAATGAATGATCCAAGATATCTGTGCCCAACCTCCGATACTTGTATATTTGGGAACATTTTTTCTGCTTTCTCTTTGCAATGTGGTTTAACAATGAGCCATGTCTTGGCTGCCTTGGGATAATAGCCAAACAGTGGCCCAGTTTCATATTGTGATACCAGTTTCGTATTGTGATACCTGAGTAGCTTGAGGTGGTCTCTCTCTAAGTACCATCTCATCACGATAGTGTTTAAATAGGGTCACGCTTTGTCTTTCTAACGAATTCATTTATCTTTGATAGGATAGATGTGTCTGTGTCTAATAGGAATAGTTATGTAAGTTATATGAAAGAGAATCCAATGGTAGCTAAGAGGAATAAGCTGTTAATATCAAAGGTATTTAGTTGATTTTTTAAAGTTTGTAATTATATGGTTTCAAACGTAAATTGTTCATTTTCTGTGAATTTCTTTTTTGAGATGACCAGAGAGGCATTATATTTTATTTATAATGTTATGTTATGTCATGTTATTTAAGCGCTGAAATGAAGTGAAAGACAGCAGAAAAAGCACAGGTGATCTTTGTAGGGAACACCCTTTCTGGTGACCAGAGAGTGAAGACCTTTGTTATTCATCAAATACAGCGGTAAACGAATTGCAGTACCGATTGCACATTGTAATATTCTCGTCAAAAAGAAGTTGACATTTGTTATTTTAACGAACGTGAACTTTGAGTTGGGCCTGGGGTAAGTTACATGTTGTAGCAGATCCAATCCATCAATTTTATTAGAGAAAGTCGTGTGAATTTCCAATAAAAACGGGTGTGTCAAATAGTAGTTGGTTGTTCCGACTAGAATAATAAAAATGAAGAGTCCCATCTCCGATATTCCGCAGGATAAATGCGATGGAGATTTTTACTTTAAAAGCCGTCTGGTGGTGGAACATATTTGATAAATAATCTTGTATTTCAAGCATGGAGAAAGTACGTAACTGGACGTTATAGACACCACTTAGTTTCTTTGAAATATGGTAGGGTTTGATATACTGTCTAGAACAGTTTTTGCAGTGAATGGACCCCTCTATTCCTCTCACATGACCTCCACGTGATAAAGCTTTAAAAGTTTGCGCAAACATAATGTTTTTTGCAAGTTGCAACTAAAAACAGTTTTATTTTATTGCTGTCGGCTGCTGCGATGTAATATATTGAGTGTTGAGTATTGAGATGCTTAGCTTTAAGTTACCATTGTAAAAATATTATAAATGTACTAGTTATCCCATGATAGTGACGTAGGCCCGTTTTAGATACCGAATGGATAACAAGAACCACGTTAAGTACTACTTACAGTTAAGAACTAATCAAATAATTAAATGTTTCACGTTGCAATGCTCAAAATACTAAAACTAAGGTGCCCAGCATCACTGCGACAGCATTATCAGTCATCTTCTAGAAAGGAAACCACTATCATTTCACAACTCCCATCTAATGACTTTATATCAAGATCCACCAAAATTTGGAACACAATTGCACCTAAACTTAAGCTCTTTGACTACTCCTACAAGATTAGCCTTGCTAAAAGTCGCCTGAAAAAAGCACTTCTAAAGCTGCAACATGCTTATAATGATTCGGCATGGACCACAAGCGATTATGACATAATGCAGCTGTCATTTGAAAACAATCCCCTTCGTCAAATTTAATCCAGTGATCTCGGCCCACAGGCTCCTCCTATTGAACAATTTTGATTTTGGTAAATGTGTGCTGACTCCACCACCTATGTATTTAACCTAATATTTAGTGTATTACAGGTAGAAATTGACTTAGGTAGGTATTTTTCTCTTAGGTAGATATTAAGAATTTGGTTAATTTCTTAATTGTATGACTATTTCCATTACTGAGACGTTTTTAATATTTAATTTAGGAGGGTTTTTGACATTTTTATAGGACTGGTTCACAGAGTGAACAGATTCCAGATTTATATATTTTTAAACTGATATTTAATAAATGATTAAAAGAAATTTTAAAGTTGCCATTAGATCCAAAAATACACCCATTATGCTCACTTAAAAACAACTCTAAATCAGTAGGCTGTCACTCTATTAATGCACCACACCGCTACCTCCACTGCACTAATAGTTATACAATAAATTCTACAATCCTAATTTTGTATCGTTATGGAGACCGGTGTTCATACAAAACATTTACTAGGTTGCCGTTTGGTGTGAGCAATAGCGAACAGCACGCACACTCCTTTGCCCCGTCAACCTATATCTAATCTATTTAAAGAGTGACAACCATACTGCACATTGAATTAGGATTCCGTTAAATATCAAATTGATTTATTGTAAACTTGTTTAATCTGTAATAAATGGCATAAAATTGAAATTTTTGTTTAACTGAAATTTTTGTTTAACTGATTTCATTTCATGAATGCCACGATATTGCCGCGCACATGCACTTGTGAGTGGCAGGCCAACAGCATGAGGCAAATAATTATAATAAAAAATGTAGATGATATGTGTTTGAAAATTATGCGTAGGTTTACAAGGTTTACAAAGTTTACAAGGTTTACAAGGTTTACAAGGTTTACAAGGTTTACAAGGTTTACAAAGATAGATCTATATTATATTACAGTATAATAACGTTAGATCGGCGTTGCTACAAAATAAATCCAAAGTCCGAACTCCAAAAAAGGAGAGAAAACCATTACCAAAATGTCATGTTGTCACTCTAAAGCCAGAGGTGAGTGCAAATCGGTCAAAATAGAAGCTACTAAAAAGAGCGAAAAAAGCACACAAACCCTAACAGGAAAACAACTAACTCTAGACATAGTTAATATTACTTCTTTTAACAAAGGGACTTGGAGACCAAGTTTGCATAAATTTCTATCCAACCAAGAGCTCAGGAGGCAAAGGTGGGTGCGTAAACTTTTGGTCTGCACTCTCCGATCCTGTATCACCCTGGATTCTTCTCGACGTATCTTTGTAAAAGGTATATACCTTCTAGTCAATCTCTTGCTACTCCAAGTCCCACAAGATATCTGATCTAAAGTTCGTGCTAGTTATATATATATGAAATATACTTTTGTCTGCTTTAATTGATACTAAATAAAATTGTTGTTTTCTTGAAATTGTTGTTTTCTTGGCTCTTCATGTCATGAAATAGCAAAGACTTTGTGGGCTCCTTCATCTTAGTCCTACTGGAATGGTACATACACGTGTATATATATTTGATTGTTTAAAGTTCAGAAATATTGGTAGCAATGGACCATTTCTGTTACCTATGTATTGTGCTTTGCCAATTGTATCACTTGATTTAATTGAATGTACATAGTACATATTGTTTGAATAATATTTAATAAAAGTTTATTTGATAAATTATTACTGTCGGTTGGGAAATATTTATTACGTATTTTCCCATATAGTGCCATGATACTTTGTAGACATCAAATCAAATCGAATCGAAACGAAACATAATGATACATAAAATCATCACAAATATTCATAGAAATATCTTAATAATTTAAATCAGTAAATTATGTTTGGGTATACCCAAACAACCTAGTTCAGGTTTTAAATAAACTTCTTCTTTGATAAATAGGGATGAAACCACAGATAATCATTATGACTATGTTTATATTACTTTTATTCTCTTTTATTCTTTCTCCGAATAATTATCTACTTCGATTCTACAAACCACCTCATCAGACACTTTCCAGTGATGATCTGATGATCACAATAAATTCCTTTTTGATGATGTGATGTTATATTTTTACTTTAATTTACTTTACTTTAATTTTAGTATGCAAATAATTCGAATTTGTAGGGTTCGGTTTGATTTTGAGGTCCAATAAGCATTGTGCACTGGCCAGTATTTGGTGAAAATCTGGGCTCTTATAGTAGGCTGTATATTGTTCATTCACAGAGAGGATTGCTCTTGCTGTGCATGTGGTAGTAAATTTGGTAAGCAATCCACATAGAGTTTTATTTGAGTTCACACCGGCTAGGTCAGTGCTGTGCTGTAAATGCACATTGTACAAGCTTAAATTTATGAAAGACATGAAACGCAATTGTTATAACTATTAACAGTTTTTGACTTCGATCTGCAGAGCGGATCGAAGAATCTTTAAATTATTTATTTTTTTATTGTATTGCTGTGTAAATTTGATTCTCATTCTAATTCTAATTCTAATAACTGGTTGGACACTGCACAATTGTCCAATTATCTGTCACATTAAAAGTGTGCATTCACATTTGCCTTTAAATCACTTGAGTTCTTTAATAAGTTAAAATTCAATTTAATCTGATATCTTCAGTGAGCATAAATTTAGCTGCAATATATTGTCGGTGCAGTAAATCGTAGTTTTTCTAACAATAGTATTTGTCAAATTATGGAGCTAGATTTTAAGTTGAACTGTTTCAGCAGCAATGATAGGCTTGTGATGATACAAGGATTGTTTTAGCACATTGAAAGGAGAACATGAAAACAGTTGCGAAACTATTCCTAGTTGGAATCTCAGCATGTCTAGTTATAATATATGTGGTGACAATGCCAGCTACAGACAGCATACTCATCACCCTTAGACCTACTCCTGAGCCCAAAACAGACTTTATCTTCCCTAACCCTCTAGATGATGGGGATGTTGGTCATTTAGATGACAATCACATAGCTGTAGAGACTAAGCTTCAAACTGAGGAGGATATTTATCATGATCCTTACCTTAATGTCAAATATAGAGTAGACACATCAGTTGTCGATAGTTTTAATGTCAAAGAGTACATTGACAATGCAGCTCATGATGCTGACCCAATGAAGCTCAATTCATTTGATCAAAATCGTAGTGATAATATCGGGGCTTTCCGTTTTATCTCTGATTCTCGGCATTGGACATGTCTGAACCATAAAGAAGATTGGAGTAATTTACCTGCTACTAGTGTCATCATGACATTTTATAATGAGGCTCGATCTGCTCTGTTGAGATCAGTTACTTCAGTCTTAAAAAGGACACCTCCCCACTTGTTAGCAGATATTATATTAGTTGATGATTGTAGTGATGATCTGGATCTCGGAAGGTTACTCAGAGGACTTGACCCGAAAATTAAAGTCTTACGAAACATTGAACGTCAAGGTTTGGTAAGATCTCGTATTTATGGTGCTCTAAATGCAGCTGGTCCTATTCTAACCTTTTTAGACTCTCATATTGAATGTAATGTGGACTGGATAGAACCTCTACTTTATCAGCTGACTCAAAAACCTCGTGGTATTGTTAGTCCTATCATTGATCCAATAAAAGCAGAAGATTTGACGTATAAAGTGGCAAGCAGCAATATTAAAGGTGAGTGTTCTTTAAATCATTTTGAATTAGCAAGTTCAGTTGTATTTTTAAAAACCACCATCTTCTCTTGTATTCCTATTGATAATATCGATATTCAATTTAGTTGTCGTATGTTCTGGTCACATGTGTTGCTGTTATTCAATAGCTTGATAGAACAGCAAATTTAGTCAGAAATTTAAACTAAATTTAAGCCCTTACAAAGTTAAATCAACAGCTTTATGTAATCCTGAATAATAATTATTCATGATAATAATTATCATTATTCAATTGTTCATTTGATAAACTAATATACGATTGATAACAGTTGATCTATACCCGTTATTTGTCTCAATCCCAACTAGGTGGTTTTACTTGGGCCCTTCATTTCACATGGGTGCAACTTACCGCGAAGGAGATGGAGGGAAGACATGAATCAGATCCTATCGTCACACCAATGATTGCTGGTGGCCTCTTTTCTATCGAAAAGGAATGGTTCTTTGAGTAAGTTATTAAGTACTACCTGCCACTTCTATAATACACAATTATTTATCTTATTATTCATCAATTATAGCCTACCAAAAATAAAAACAAAATTTTAAATTTTAAAACGAACTTGAAAAAACCTTGTTCTCAATTTCTGACCCTTTTTCTACACGTCATTAAACATAATAACATTTCTTACAAAACTTACCCTTAGTTTGACCTTATGTTTCAGTTAATACTAAAACATAATATGTAACAAGGAAAAGCTCCTTTACATATATCCATTATCCAGTATATGTTGTCACAATCATGCAACGTCATTGCAAAATTGTGAGTTTAATTCTTGATATATGCTTTGCTTACCATGTTTTACCATGTGTTACCACTCTGCTACAGGATTTAGAAACAAAAATGAAAACATAAAGCAATAAAACTATTGGGTATACTCTACCCATATTGTAAGCTTAAAGATGTCCATATTGCCCAGTTATGGAGACACCTTTAAGTTACAAACCAAAAGCTTTCTAAATCCATTGGAATGTCAATGATAGAAGCTTTCAGCAGAACCAAATGACTCTGTCAAGTAAATCTAGGGGAATAAAAACACTCTTCTAATTTCTCTTATAATTAAAATGAACGTACCCCAGGGTTTCATACATATAGCACTCAGTAAGCAATAGTCTTTCAGACAGGTCACTGAGCAAGAGGGCATCGTTCCATCAGACTCCACTCCAGCCGGTTGGTACCACCAAGGAGTGTAGAACAGACAGTCCGTCATTGTGTAGCCGTCATCACACTTGAGACTGCCACTTTTACCTTTATCCACTCTGTGTCTGTTTTTGAGTACGACTTGGAACATTTGACTATTCTTCCGACAGGTTGCCTGACTCTGAAAGTTGTTGTTTATAAACATTTGGGAATAATAACAAATAAAAGCTGTCTCAGTACATATCAGTAGAAGCTATTCTAATTCTTAATGTTTTAGTGTAAATGATAGAATAAGGGGTGCAGATTGTTAGGCCCAACAGTCCACTAGATTTGCACTAGGGTTTGCACATCTTAAGAGAAAACTTATTGCTGTCTCACCTTAACTCCTGTACCACGTCTTGCTACTGCAACACAGCCACCATCCTCAAAGTAAAGCCCATCTGAGATGCGGGAGATGCTACCCTCTGCTAACTTGCAACCAATCATGGTGTATCCATCAGGGCATGTAGCAGTTGTTTTAGCATCATCGTTAGCTGCACTTAAAGGGCTGATGAATGTTTCTATGTCATCTCCACAGACAAGTTGGGGTTCTAAGATGCTAAGTATGAGCAAGTTCAGACAAGGTCTGAAGTTCAGACAAGTTCTGAGGGTGCTTTTCATCTTTTGGGAAGATCGTCAGAGATCTACTTGATAATCTGCATACATTCGATATTTCACTGAACGTTATAGCGGTAATGTTATAGCGGTAAATGGGATTAAACGGTTAATGAAAGTTGTGATTATTGAATCTCCGTTAAAGCACATGGCTTTCATCAGTGCATACAGTAAATCGTGGTTTTACTATTATTATATAAACGTAATTAAATCAAAGATTTACTACTACTAGCATCAGCTGTTTGACTACGGCAGGAGCAGCAAATCCAAACTGAATACAACCATTTACTGAGAGAGCAAGGCAGCGGCTTGGGAAGGAGCGTGTGCATCTATTAAGATAAGCGCTATTCGAACACTGACCATTAAGGATCATTGTTTTAGCACCATTAAGGGTCATTGTCTTAGGACCATTATGAGCATTATGGTGATTAAGATAAGAACGGAGTCTATAAATACAATGGTATTTCTGTCGGTCTGTGGATGGGTGGAACCACTAGAGCTGTATGGGAGAGCAGGAACTAGGAGTTTACAGGAGCTCCTACTAAGAATTCAAAGATTTACTACTACTAGCATCAGCTGTTTGACTACGGCAGGAGCAGCAAATCCAAACTGTGTACAACCATTTACTGAGCGAGCAAGGCAGCGGCTTGGGAAGGAGCGTGTGCGTTTATTAAGAGCTATTGTTTTAGCACCATTAGGGATCATTGTGTTCGGACCGTTATGGTGATTAGGAAAAAAACGGAGTCTATAAATACAATGGTATTTCTGCCGGTCTAGGGATGGGTGGAGCCACTAGAGCTGTATGTGAGAGCAGGAACTATGAGTTTACAGGAGCTCCTACTAAGAAATACTGAGAGGTACTGGTCAGCACCCCCTGAAGGTTAGAGAGATGAATAATGAGCAGTCTGTAGGTAGGTAGATAGGTGAGCTGTGTGCTGTACTGTAAATTAATAAAATATAGTTAGAATTGAGGTTGTATGTGTAGGAGTGAATAATTACTGACAGTAGTCATTGTACCATAACATTATTAAAGAACTCCCCTGATATCTTTTGATTATATTGAAACACGGGTACTAACTCTGCTAAACTGAAAAAATTCTGAAACTTAGGTGAATAAGTGTACAACGTGCTAAACCGAAGTTCAGACTGACCAGTGAAAATGGGCGAGCGTACCAAGTGTCATTTTAATTAGATGTTTTAGTCTGTGATTTATTATTGAAGCTTGTAATTACAATAACTAATGCTCCTGTAAATACTTTAATTAATTGTTTGTTCCGTTATTCTTTTTCCTTCCTCTTTTCCTTGTCATCCCCTTTAGTTTTAAGATTCTTGCTATAAATGGCTACAGCTAACACTATTAATGCTAAGTACCAAACAACAAGGTGGGAGGTGGATCGTTGGTATACCGTTAAATCGATTTAAAACACCGCAGTTCCAGTCGCAAGCCTGGGACCACTACTAGCATTGTCACAACATCTACAAAGCTGCCATATAGCCCGACTGACAATTTTCTCGACTGACTGACAATGTTTCTTCTTTTCCCCATTTAGAATACAAAGATTAGTACATTTTAGCTTATGATTAATATTATATTTTTACCTATAGTTTACCTAGATTGCTTAAAGTTTAAACTGATCTGGAAATCAACGTATCATTACACTCTTAATTCCATTTAAAGTTACCATAAACTTATTAACGATGTTCCCTAAAACATCATGTAATAAGTTTATGGCTGGCGGAAAAGTTTTTCAAATGTTATTCAAATGATAATATCATCAATAGAGAAATGTTGCCATAAAAGGATTTGAGGAATATTTAGTAATGTACGGAGGGCAGTTACGGAATGTAAAAGTTATGTACATACCACATTTTACACATGTTGGTGTTGTTGTCCACTGTCCATTAGACTGGCACGTGACCTCGTGTTCACCAATTAGAACGTAGTGTTTAGGTTTGAAGCAGGTTGCGATGACAACAGTGTCCTTAACACGGACAATGGTCGAGAGGTGAGTGTTACCAAGGTTTAGTTCATCACATTGTACCACTGAAATTGTGAAATGTCTGAATTTGTTGGTACTTGAGGCAAACAAGTGGCAATGTGGGCACATTTCACAAATAGTTACACTGTGTGGTGAGATGAAGTAGTTGGTAGCGTAAAAAGAAAGAGAATCTTAAACTCCAAGTTTAGCAGTTGATATAACCAGCTTCTCACTCACCAGGGCAAGCTTGAGTGTTACATTCCTTTTCCTCCTCGTCCTCTCCAGCACATTCCTTTCCTCCGTTAGCTGGTGCTGGGTTGGAACATTGTCTAGATCTTTGTTGGGTACCATCTTCACACTCTTCAGAGCAGTCTGACCAACCACCAAACTCACTCCATCCACCGTCAATTGGACAATCTTGTGTGTTGCAATCCTGGTGTTCTGATTCCTCTCCTTGGCATTCAGCTCCTTTATATTGAGGTGCAGGGTTAGTACAGGTTCTGTCTCTCTTCTTTGTTCCTCCACCGCACTCTTTAGAGCATTGTGACCAAACACCAAACTCACTCCATCCACCGTCAACAGCTGGAGTTATTATATTCACACAACGGATTTGATTGTACGCTACTTAGTCTAAACTGTAAACTTAATTAAACTCTTAGTTTATAAGTTGCAATACTAACAGATTTATGGAGACTGGAGTAATTATTAAAAGTAACCTGCAGTCTGCACCGAGAGGGGATTACGTTTCAACTTACCAATATTGGTCATCGTGCATATAGCACTTAGGAAGCATTCTCTGGTTAAACAGGTCACTGTGCAGGAGGGCACCCTTCCATCAGATTCCACTCCAGTTGGTTGGGACCACCAAGCAGTGTAGAACAGACAGTCCGTCATTGTGTAGCCGTCATCACACTTGAGACTGCCAGTTTTACCTTTATCCACTCTGTGTCTGTTTTTGAGTACGACTTGGAACATTTGACTGTTCTTCCGACAGGTTGCCTGACTCTGAAAGTTGTTCTTTATCAAAATTTGGGAATAATAACAAATAAAACCTGTCTCAGTACATATCAGTAGAAGCTATTCTTATTCTAACTTTCTAAATGTTTTAGTGTTGATGATAGAATAAGGGGTGCATATTGTTAGGCCCAACAGTCCACTAGAGTTGCACTAGGGTTTGCACATCTTAAGAGAAAACTTATTGCTGTCTCACCTGAACCCCTTTAGCACCTTTTGCTAATGCAGCACATCCACCATCCTCAAAGTAAAGCCCATCTGAGATGCGGTAGGTGCTACCCTCTGCTAACTTGCAACCAATCATGGTGTATCCATCAGAGCATTTAGCAGTTGTTCGAGCATCATTTTCAGCTGCACTTAAAGGGCTGATGGCTGTTTCTATGTCATCTCCACAGACAAGTTGGGGTACTAAGATGCTAAGTATGAGCAAATTCAGACAAGTTCTGAAGTTCAGACAAGTTCTGAGGGTGCTTTTCATCTTTTCGGAAGAGCGTCAGAGATCTACTTGATAATCTGCATACATACGATATTTCACTGAATGTTATAACGGTAAGGTTCGTTATCGGTAAATGGGATTAAACGGTTAATGAAAGTTGTGATTATTGAATCTCAGTTAAAGCACATGGCTTTCATCAGTGCGTACAGTAAATCGTGGTTTTACTA